ACATGTAATATAAAAATGTAATTATAATATTGTTATTGTTATTACTATTACATTGCATTACATTATAATATTATAAATATTATATTTATATACAATATATTATATTGTATTACATTAAATTTATATTATATTATGTTATTAGAATAGCACAGGAGACAAGTTGAACAATAGCACATATATATTTATAATAATAATAATAATAACAATAATAATGTAGTATTGACATTCAGTGAAGGGCAATTGGTCCTGTTTGTTCTGCGGAAGAGAAAGAAAGCCTTTCTTTGCTCTGGGCATCCAGAGATCAGCGAGTTTTGTGACTCTGGGGCCCCTTCTACATATGTTTAAAATCTACAGAGATGCAAACATTACGGCAGAATTAAACATAACAGTATTTGCTTTTGAGAAGCAGTTCAAGGGAAGGGAGGGAGGTGTCCTTGCATCATTGCATCGTTGCCGGGGGGTTCTGGTTCTCATTCCTAAGACAGACCCCCTTTCTGCTTGCAGAACGTTTACGCTCCCGAGGAAGACCCCGAGATGGCCGTGGAGCGCTACGAGCGGAGCTTTGAGCAGAACGAGGAGTTGGGCCTGAACGACATGAAGACGGAGGGCTACGCGGAAGAGGCCCCTCCCCAGCGGTAGCAGCACCCTCTTCACGGCCAGCGGAGGGACTCCTCTTCGGAGGTGGACATTTGCCCCCTGCAAGCCTGCCCATGCATTAAAGCTCAGTGAGGGCTCGGTTGGAGACTCGACTGGCTCCTCTGTGGTGTTTGGGCTCTGTTTTGCGTAATGGCTCCAAGGGGGTGGTCCAGGCCCTTCTGGCAGTGGCTGGTCATTTGTGTAAATGTTGACCATGGATGGAGCAAGCATGCTCCCCGGAGGCAGGCCGTTCTTCTGTTTCCGCCATCTGCTTCTGGCCCTGGAACTCAACAAAAAAGCTCCTGTTTTGTAGCAGGTTCCCCATGAGGCGGGTGAGAACATAAACGAGATGTGGATGAAGGTTTATATATTTATATTCTGCTTTATCTCTCTGGATTACAGTACCGTACATACAAGGCAAACATATAACACAACAACGACCCACAATACACCGATAGATAAAGGTCTTGACAGATTAGAGAGATGGGCCAAAACTAACAAAATGAAGTTCAACAGTGACAAATGCAAGATACTCCACTTTGGCAGAAAAAATGAAATGCAAAGATACAGAATGGGTGACGCCTGGCTCGAGAGCAGTACGTGTTAAAAAGATCTTGGAGTCCTCGTGGACAACAAGTTAAACATGAGCCAACAATGTGATGTGGCGGCAAAAAAAGCCAATGGGATTTTGGCCTGCATCAAGAGGAGCATAGTGTCTAGATCTAAGGAAGTAATGCTCCCCATGCTCTATTCCGCTTTGGTTAGACCACACCTGGAATATTGTGTCCAATTCTGGGCACCACAATTCAAGAGAGATATTGACAAGCTGGAATGTGTCCAGAGGAGGGCGACTAAAATGATCAAGAGTCTGGAGAACAAGCCCTATGAGGAGCGGCTTAAGGAGCTGGGCATGTTTAGCCTGAAGAAGAGAAGGCTGAGAGGGTATATGATAGCCATGTATAAATATGTGAGAGGAAGCCACAGGGAGGAGGGAGCAAGCTTGTTTTCTGCTTCCTGGAGACTAGGACGCGGAACAATGGCTTCAAACTACAAGAGAGGAGATTCCATCTGAACATTTGGAAGAACTTCCTGACTGTGAGAGAGAGCCGTTCAGCAGTGGAACTCTCTGCCCGGGAGTGTGGTGGAGGCTCCTTCTTTGGAAGCTTTGAAACAGAGGCTGGATGACCATCTGTCGGGGGTGATTTGAATGCAATATTCCTGCTTCTTGGCAGAATGGTGTTGGACTGGATGATGGCCCAGGAGGTCTCTTCCAACTCTTTGATTCTAGGATTCTATGATTCTTCCTCTTCTATCCATTTCTGGGTTAGAGCGTGTGCTTCTTTTGTTAAAAAAGTAATTTTTATTGAAGGTTAAGCATAGAATAAAAAGTAGATTTAGAGAAAATACATTTAAAGTGGGAGAACATTAAATTCAAAGAAAAGTTAGAAATAAGCACGGCACAAGAGAAAGAAAAAACAAAACAAAAATAAATAATAAAACAACAAAACAAACAAAAACAAAGGTGAAGCAAGAAGTAAGTTTGACTATCCGTTTGCTTCCAGATTCAATTTTGCCGAAAGTCTGTTTTGGTCTTGAAGTCTTTTTAATCTATATAGCGATGGTTTCTTAATTTTCCCTGTCCTTGGAGTTTCTTTTAGAGGGTGTGATTCTTATCAAGTTTGCAGATGGGACCAAATTGGGAGGGAGAGCTAATACTCCAGAGGGCAGGGTCAGGATGCAAAAGGATCTCCACATAATAATAATAATAATAATAATAATAATAATAATTATTATTATTATTATTATTATTATTATTATTATTTATACCCCGCCACCATCTCCCCAAAGGGGACTCGGGGCTGTTTACATGAGGCCAAGCCCATACAACAAATTACAATAAAATAAGATACACGTTACAATAAAATCAACAACATTGCAGAAAAATACAGAAGTAGAGAGTGGGAGAGCTGATTGGCCAAAACTAACACAATGAACGTCAACAAGGAGCCATGTAAGAGATTCCAGTCACAGCACCCCTTGATGGCCCTCCAGCCCCTGCTTAACAACCCCCCTGGGTGGTTTAATCCCTACAGAAGTGGAGTGCAGATGGGACCAGATTGGGAGCTAATACTCCAGAGGGCAGGGTCAGGATGCAAAAGGACCTCCACAGATGAGAGAGCTGATTGGCCAAAACTAACAACGTAAATGTCAACAAGGAGACATGAAAGATACTCCACTTAGGCAGGAAAAAATGCAATGCAAAGATAGAAATTGGGTGACGCTTGGCTCCACAACAGTCCATGGGAGAAAGTGGGTTGCTGTAAGTTTGTCGGGCTCTCTGGCTGTGTCCCAGAAGCATTCTCTCCTGACGTTTCGCCTGCATCTGTGGCAGGCATCCTCAGAGGTTGTGAGGAAAGATCGTGGAGTCTTGAACATGAGCCAAGGGTGTGATGCAGCAGCTCAAAAAGCCAGTGGGATTTGGTGCTGCATCCAGAGGAGAATAGTGTCCAGATTGAGGGAAGTCTGGGTGCCTTTGTATTCTGCTTTGGCCAGATCGCTTTATCCTGAATCACACTGTGTCCAATTCCGGGCCCATAGTTCAAAAGAGATACTGGTTCTAAGCTGGAATGTGAACCGAGGAAGAGGGCGACTAAAAGCATCCAAGGTCTGGAGACCATGAATAATCCCTCTGAGTAGTGACTTAAAGAGCTGGGTGTTTAGCCTCAGAAGAGAAGGCGGAGAGGAGACGTGGAAGGAGCCATGTATCAATATGTGAACGGGTGTCCTAAGGAAGAGGGAGCAGGCTTGTTTTCTGCTCTCAATGGAGCCATGGGTTCAAATGACAGGAAAGAAGGAGACTCCACCTAAACACTGGGAAGATTTCTGACTATAAGAAGAGATGTTCAACAGTGGAACTCTCCACGTTGGAGTCTGGTGGAAACTCCTTCCTTGGAAATTTAAACAGAGGCTGGTTGGCCATCTGTCAGGGGTGCTTTTCATGCATTGAAGGAGGAGTTTGGACTAGATGGCCCCCATGGTCTCTTCCAAATCTATTATTTTGTGATCTTCCTGTGCTTTCTGCTTCAGAGTGTAGTGGAGGCTCCTTCCTTGGAGGCTTTTAAACGGAGGCTGGCTGGCCATCTGTCGGGGTGACTGATTAAAAACCTCCAGGGTGGTTTAATCCCTATTTGGACCTAATGTGCTCATGTGTTGTGTTGCTATGTACATGTGACATGTAATAATAATAATAATAATAATAATAATAATAATAATAATAATAATAATGTAATAATAATTTTGAGACAAATTCTGGTCACTTGGGTATAATGTGCTATGTACATGTGACATATAATAATAATAATAATAATAATAATAATAATAATAATAATGCAGAGATGAAGCCCAGACACTTGGACCTAATGTGAACATGTGCTATGTTGCTATGCACATGTGACATATAATAATAATAATAATAATAATAATAATAATAATAATGTAATAATAATTTAGAGACAAATTCCAGGCACTTGGACCTAATGTGCACACGTGCTGTGTTGCTATGTACATGTGACATGTAATAATAATAATAATAATAATAATAATAATAATAATAATAATAATAATAATAATTTAGAGACAAATTCCAGGCACTTGGGCCTAATGTGCATGTGTGCTGTGTTGCTATGTACATGTGACATAATAATAATAATAATAATAATAATAATAATAATAATAATAATAATTTAGAGACAAATTCCGGTCACTTGGGCCTAATGTGCATGTGTGCTGTGTTATAATAATAATGCAGAGATGAAGCCCAGACACTTGGACCTAATGTGCACATGTGCTGTGTTGCTATATACATGTGACATGTAGTAATAATAATAATAATAATAATAATAATTTAGAGACAAATTCCAGTCACTTGGGCCTAATGTGCATGTGTGCTGTGTTGCTATGTACATGTGACATGTAATAATAATAATAATGTAATATAATAATAATTTAGAGACAAATTCCGGTCACTTGGGCCTAATGTGCATGTGTGCTGTGTTGCTATGTACATGTGACATGTAATAATAATAATAATAATAATAATAATAATAATGCAGAGATGAAGCCCAGACACTTGGACCTAATGTGCACATGTGCTGTGCTGCTATGTACATGTGACATGCAATATCATCATCAATCATCATCATCATCATCATCATCCTCATTCCTATTCTTCTCCTTCCCCTTTTGGGCTTTGATACAGAAAGTGGCGGCGACCGCCAGGGGTCGCTGCTGGCAAGCCACCGGGCGTCTCTATGGGTTTTTCCTCTGCTCTGGCGGGCCTGAATCCTCCACTTCCGGTTCCGGACGTAGCGGGCAAGATGGCGGTGGCGGGGCTGTCTAAGGCCGAGTACTTGAAGCGATATTTGGGAGGAGGAGGAGGGGGCGAGGAGAAGGAGGAGGGGGAGGAAGGCAAGAAGCGGCGCCGGAGGAAGAAGAAGGCGGCGGAGGAGGAGAAGAAGGGGGCGACCTTGGGCCGGTGAGAAGGGAGAGAGCGAGCGAGGGAAGGAGGCCGAGAGAGTGTGACTGGCCCAGGCCAGTGGGAAGGGAAGGGAAGGGAATGGAGGGACCCCCAAGGGACGTCTAGCCCAACCCCTTTCTCTCAGGCGGAAATACACCACCACCATCATCATCATCGTATATTATTGATATTCTATATTACTATATTTACATGCACATTTTTCTTGAGAAACTGCAAGTCGCTTCTGGTGTGGGAGAACTGGCCGTCTGCAAGGACGTTGCCCAGATGTTTTACCATCCTGGGAGAGGCTTCTCTCATGACCCTGCATGGGAAGCTGGAGCTGACAGGTGGGAGCTCACCCCATTATAAATTATATATATATATATGTATAATATAGTATATTGTATATAGTAAAGGTAAAGGTTGTCCCCTGACATTAAGTCCAGTCATGTCTGACTCTGGGGTGTGGTGCGCATCTCCATTTCTAAGCCGAAGAGCCAGCGTTGTCCATAGACACCTCCAAGGTCATGTGACTGGCATGAGCACCATTACCTTCCCGCTTGAGCGGTACCTATTGATCTACTCACATTTGCATGTTTTCAAACTGCTAGGTTGGCAGAAGCTAGGCCTGAAAGCGGAAGCTCACGCCGCTCCCTGGAATCGAACCTGCGACCTTTTGGTCAACAAGCTCAGCAGCTCAGTGCTTTAACCCACTGCGCCACCAGGGGGCGTGTGTGTGTGATATATATATATATATATATATGGAGGGACCCCCAAGGGACATCTAGCCCAACCCCTTTCTCTCAGGCGAAAATACACCACCACAACCATATATATTATTGATATCCTGTGTTATTATATTTACATGCACATTTTTCTTGAGAAACTGCAAGTCGCTTCTGGTGTGGGAGAACTGGCCGTCTGCAAGGACGTTGCCCAGATGTTTTACCATCCTGGGAGAGGCTTCCCTCATGTCCCTGCATGGGAAGCTGGAGCTGACAGGTGGGAGCTCACCCCATCTAGTCATTTTACTACCAGTCCACGTTTCACAGGTGCAGTGGGTTAAACCCCTGTGCCGGCAGGACTGAAGACCGACAGGTCACAGGTTCGAATCCGGGGAGAGGCGGATGAGCTACCTCTATCAGCTCCAGCTCCTCATGCGGGGACATGAGAGAAGCCTCCCACAAGGATGAAAACATCAAAATCATCTGGGCATGCCCTGGTCAACGTCCTTGCAGACGGCCAGTTATCTCACACCAGAAGCGACTTGCAGTTTCTCAAGTCGCTCCTGACATGAAAAAAGATACCCAGAAAGAAGCCACAGCCTTGCCTGGCAAACTGCCGACCTTTCAGTCAGCAGTCATGTTTTTTGTGTGTGTGTCAGGAGTGACTTGAGAAACTGCAAGTCTCCTCTGGTCTGAGAGAATTGGCCGTCTGCAAGGACGTTGCCTAGGAGACATTGCCTGGATGTTTTGATGTTTGGCCAACCTTGTGGGAAGCTTCTCTCATGTCCCCTTTGCATGGGGAGCTGGAGCTGACAGAGAAAGCTCATCCGTGCTCTCCCCAGATTCGAACCTCCCACCTGTCGGTCTTCAGTCCTGCCCGCACAAGGGTGTAACCCATTGCGCCACTGAGGGCTCCTATTTACATGTACCTAACGTCATACCACACATTATTATTATTAAACTTTATTTGTACCCCGCTAACATCTCCCAAAGGATTCGATGCGGTTTACACAGGCCGAGGCCTCAACACACAACATACCAGTACAGTCTAAGCAAATCAAACAGTTAAAAACAGAATAAAGCAAAATGAACAACAGGCAAAACAATATACTAAAACACAATAAAACTGGGCCGGGCCAGAGTAATGGGTACAAGAATTAAAAGTGCTGATGTGACAGGAGGTGTATATGAGGCTTCTAGGGCAAGTGCGATGTGCGATGTGCAGCAATCATTGGTTCTGGTAAAGTGCTTATGGGACTTGGTAGTGGAGATTTCCTAATCTGGGAAGGCGCATCGGAAAAGCCAGGTCTTCAGGTTCTTTCTGAAGACTGCCAATGTAGGGGCCTGTCTAAGGTCTTTGGGGAGGGTGTTCCAGAGACGGGGGGCCACCACGGAGAAGGCCCTGTCCCGCGTCCCCACCAAGCGCGCCTGCAACGCAGGTGGGATCATGAACAGGGCCTCTCCAGATGACCGAAGTGAACGCGTGGGTTCGTAGATGGAAATGCGGTCCCAAACCGTTCAGGGCTTTGTAGGTAAGCACCTGCACCTTAAATTGGGCTCGGAATATAAACGGCAGCCAGTGGAGCTCCTTGAACAGGAGGGTTGACCTCTCTCTGTAAGGGGCCCCAGTTAGCATCCTGGCTGCTGATCGTTGGACCAGTTGGAACTTCCGAGCTGTCTTCAAGGGCACACATGCACATGAGGTCCAAGTGTCTTGCCTTCGTCTCTGAATATAGGGCTCTTCCAAGGGTCTAAGATAGTAGAGGTGTTACTACATCACTATGATTATATATTATTATGTTACTTATTATTAACATAGTATTTTCATGTACATAACAACACAGCACACATGCATACTAGGTCTAAGTGTCTTGGATTTGTCTCTTGCCAAGTGTTGGAGGCATTAAAGTTATTATTGGATTCTTATTATTCTTATCTCTCATATAGATAGATAGATAGATAGATAGATAGATAGATAGTTATATGTTATCTATATAAATAAAAATGTAATATTCATTTGTGGGATTAACATAACTCAAAAACCACTGAATGAATTGCCGCCAAATTTGGACACAAGACACCTACTAACCCAAGGAGTGATCATCACTCCAAAAAATTGATTTTGTCATTTGGGAGTTATAGTTGCTGGCATTTATAGTTTACTTACAATCAAAGAGCATTCTGACCTCCACCAATGATGGAGTGAACCAAACATGGCAAAACTTCCCACACAGAACCCCCCTGACCAACAGAAAATACTTAAGGCCATCCAATCCAACTCCCTTCACCAGGGCAAGAAAACGTAATCAAAGCCCTCCTGACAAAGAGCCATCCAGCCATAGATATAGATAGATAGATATTATTCACACACACACAGATATAGTATCCTAGATTTGAAAGGGACCCCTAAAGAAGGACAATTATATGTTGCATGTTCCAGAGTAGGCAAACCAGACACTCTCCACATCAACACTGACAAAGAAACAGCAAGAAATACTGTTTACCACGAGCAGAAAGAAAATACATATATTAGAAACCAACATTGACTAGTTTCATTACTTTATTTTCCAGATCACCAGACTGGGCCACTGCAACGAAGGGCAGGGGACAGCTAGTTATCTATCTATCTATCTATCTGTCTGTCTGTCTGTCTGTCTATCTAAAATGTTTGTTTGTGGGATTAACAGAACTCAAAAACCACTGGACGAATTGGCACCAAATTTGGATGCAATATGCCTAACAACCCAATGTATGTCCTTCACCAATGTATGTCCTTCACTAAAAAAAAAATGATTTTGTCATTTGGGAGTTGTAGTTGCTGGGATTTGTAGTTCACCTACAATCAAAGAACATTCTGAACCCCACCAGTGACGGAATTGAACCAAACTTGGCACACAGTTCTCCCATGACCAACAGAAAATACTGGAAGGGTTTGGTGGGTAGTGTCCTTTGGTTTTGGAGTTGTAGTTCACCTACATCCAGAGAGCACTGTGGACTCAAACAATAATGGATCTGGACCAAACTACACGAAGACTCAATATGCCCAAAGGTGAACAAATTGGTGTCAGTACCTGCTTTTATCCAGGAATAAGCCCAGCCTTGCATCTGTGCAAAAGCTTCCTTTGGCGACAGTCTCATGAGGCGGGCTGTATTCTGGCTTGTTTTGTATCTAAGCTTCTCTAGAAGTGAGATTTTGGGAAGAGGTCAAGCTAGGCAATTGCTAGGCTTCTTACCATATTCCAATATCATTGTGATTCATCGTCACGTTGGATTTCTTTTTCTCCTTTGACGCTCAGGATGCGCATCGTGGATGATGACGACACAAGCTGGAAGAGCATTCCTGTGGAGCAGGAGGATGAGGATGAGGAAGGGGATGAAGGAGATATGCCTGTGGTGAGGCTCTGAAAGCTTGGCAGCACTAAAGTTGTGTAATTACACTACGTAACGCAATTTTTGTTCTGGGTTATAAACATAATTTCTTAATTGGTTCTATCATAAAAACTTGGGAAAAGTTGACTAAATTGCAAAAACATTGTCTTTGCGGGAGGGACATCCTGCTATAGCACATTTTGCTCTAGTTTTCAATGTATAGCTCATCATATTCAGCCACCAAAAATAAAAGACAAACTACTTTCATAGTAAGTCCTGCAAAGTAAGTTCCTCATAGAGTTGGAAGAGACCAAGAGTTGATGAAGTCCTGTTTTAATCCATTGTTTCCAGGTGGCAGAGTTTATTGATGAGCGGCCGGATGAAGTGAAATGGATGGAAACGTTTCGCACCAGCAACAAATGGAAGCTGATGGGAGGTGAGCATCCTGCCATCCTTTTAGAGCTCCATAGTGTACTTCTTTTGCATCCTGTCCTCAGTCTTTTCTCCAAGGGTGGGAATTCCATCTTGGTGTCTCGGATTCAGAGGGACTTGCATAGGATTATATAGAGGTACTAGCCGTCCCCTGCTAGCCGTTGTTGTGGCCCAGTCTGTTGCTCTGGAAAATAATGAGAAAGTGTTGCTTTCTAATATATGGAATTTCTTTCTGCTTTTGGGTAGACAGTATTTCTTGCTGTGTCTTTGTCAGTGTTGATGTGGTGAATGTCTGGTTGGCCTACTCTGGAGCATGCAATATAGAATTGTCCTTGTTTAGGGGTCCCTTTCAAATTTATGATACTATATCTGTGAGTTTGTGTGAATCATATCTATCTCTATCTATGGCTGGATGGCTCTTTGTCAGAGGGCTTTGATTACGTTTTCTTGCCCGATGAAGGGAGTTGGACTAGATGACCTGAAGTATTTTCTGTTGCTCTGGGGGTTCTGTGGGGGAAGTTTGCCCTGATTCTGTCATTCGTGTGGTTCAGAACGCTCTTTGATTGTAGGTGAACTATAAATCCCAGTAACTACAACTCCCAAATGTCAAGGTTTATTTCCCCCAAACTCCATCTGTGTTTATATTTGGGCATGTTGAGTACTCGTGCCAAGTTTGGTCCAGATCCATCATTGTTTGAGTCCATAGTGCTCTCTGGATGTAGGTGAACTATAATTCCAAAATTCAAGGTCAATGCCCACCAAACCCTTCCAGTATTTTGCTGGTGGTCATGGGAGTTTTGTGTGCCAAGTTTGGTTCAATTCCATTGTTGATGGAGTTCAGAATGCTCTTTGATTGTAGATGAACTATAAATCCCAGCAACTACAACTCCCAAATGACAAAATCATAATTTTTGAGTGATGGTCACTCCTTGTGTTGTGAGACATTTTGTTGCCAAATTTGGTATGATTTAGTTAATTGGTTCTTTTGTTTTTAAGGTACTCATTATGCACAGAGCATTTTTATATATAGAGATGTGTTAACGATAATAATTGCAACATTTTCTTTTCTTAGAACCAAACGAGGAGGAGCCCCAAAAGTCTGCAAACAGGTGAGGAGTGGGAGTGGTTGCGCAGCTTGCCGCCTGAGGCCAGGAAGTCTGTTTAAAAGCCTTTTGCGACTGCTTATATCTAATAAGCAAAATAAAAGAGATTTAAAGATGGGCTTAAAGCTAAGCCTAAAAACTTAGGCATAGACACCAAGAACTGGGAAGCCCTGGCCCTTGAGCACTCTAACTGGAGGTCAGCTGTGACCAGCAGTGCTGCGGCATTCAAAGAGGCACGAATGGAGCGTGAAAGGGAGAAACATGCCAAGAGGACTGGGACCGCCTTCCGACTGGAAATCATGTCCTCACTGCGGGAGAACACGCAGGTCAAGCATAGGGCTCCATCCACCTATGGACCCACCGCCAGGACACTCCACTTGGAGGACCATCATCCTCAGGCTACGAGGGATCGCCTAAGTAAAGTAATAACTAATAATATTTCTTACCCATCTCTTCTCATGGCTCAAGGCGGTCACAGCACAGGCGAAAGCACACAAGTACTATAAAAACCCTACAAACACACGTATTAAAGTGCAGTTCCAGAAAAGAGCAAAGGATACTTGGCAGAGTTACACCTAATTATTTAGGATTGTTGTTTCTTGTGTATGATTATTTCATGTCCTTACTTTAATCCCTGTTTTGTGTATTTTAACATTTTTTTATAGAAATACATTTTAAGATGTATCGTGTATAGAAATACATTTTAATATGTGTATTTGTGGAATTTTTTACAATGTTTATGTGTTTTAATTATTCTGTAACCCGCCTCGAGCCACAAGGAGAGGCGAGTCAGAAATAAAACTATTATTATTAATGGGTTGTTGTAGGTTTTTTCGGGCTATATGGCCATGTTCTAGAGCAGTGGTTCTCAACCTTCCTAATGCCGCGACCCCTTTGTACAGTTCCTCACGTTGTGGTGACCCCCAACCATAACATTTTCATTGCTACTTCGTAACTGTAATTTTGCTACTGTTGTGAATCGTAATGTAAATATCTGATATGCAGGATGTATTTACAAATCCCAAATACCCAATATGCCCAAATTTGAATACTGGTGGGGTTGGGGGATTGATTTTGTCATTTAGGAACTGTAGTGGCTGGGATTTATAGTTCACCTACAATCAAAGAGCATTCTGAACACCACCAATGATGAAATTGAACCAAACTTAGCACACAGAACTCCCATGGCCAAGAGAAAATACTGGGAGGATCTGGTAGACATTGACCTTGGAGTTGTAGTTCACCTACATCCAGAGAGCACTGTGGACTCAAACAATGATGGATCTGGACCAAACTTGGCACGAATACTCAATATGCTGAAATGTGACCACTGGAGGAGTTTGAGAAAAATAGATCTTGACATTTGGGAGTTGTAGTTGCTGGGATTTATAGTTCACCGACAATGAAATAACATTCTGAACCCCACCAACAATAGAATTGGACCAAACTTCCCACACAGAACCCATGACCAACAGAAAATACTATGTTTTTTGATGGTCTTTGGCGACCCCTCTGACACCCCCTCGCGACCCCCACAGGGGTCCCGACCCCCAGGTTGAGAAACACTGTTCTAGAGGCATTCTCTCCTGACGTTTTGCCTGCATCTATGGCAAGCATCCTCAGAGGTAGTGAGGAAACGTCAGGAGAGAATGCCTCTAGAACATGGCTATAAAGCCCGAAAAAACCTACAAGAACCCAGTTATTCCGGCCATGAAAGCCATAGACAATACATTATTATTATTATTATTATTATTATTATTATTATTATTATTCAAAAAGTGTAAGGTGAATCTGGACTCTGTTTTAGACTAATAATAATAATTTATTACCCGCCTGTCCTTTTGGCTTGAGGTGGGACACAACATAGTCAAAGCTTGGTGAATGCAGACCGTGTTCTTTCTCGTTTCCCTTGCCTTCCAGTTCAGAAGCTGCAAAGCAACAGAAAATGGCACCTTTCCCAGATCAGTCTCCTCCAAGAAGGGGCCGCCATGATTCGCCAGACGGGTCTCCACCCAGGAAAGGCCGCCATGATTCACCAGATCTGTCCCCACCCAGGAGGGACCGCCATACGAAGCCCCAATCTGGAGCAAGCAGAAACAATGACAGACCTTTGGACCAAGGTCGGCAGGAACGGTTCTCGGAGAAGGATGCGGCCCGTCCAAAGAGGCAAATGAGTCCTGATGCATCGGCGCCTTGGAAGAAGGCGCGCCATTTGGATGCAGACCTGCTGCTGCCTCGAAAGCAGCCGGCTCCCAGGGGTAAGTGGAAAGCGCTGTGCTTTTGTGTGGGTGTGCATCGTACTTGGTTAGCATGCAGTCTTCATTTTCTTGTTTAATCTTTTACATCATCTGAGGAGGCCCTGCTCTCGATCCTGCCTGCTTCACAGGCACGTTTGACGGGGACGAGAGACAGGGCCTTCTCTGTGGTGGCCCCTCGACTGTGGAACTCCCTGCCTAGGGATGTTAGATCAGCCCCCTCCCTCCTGACCTTTCGGAAAAGAGTGAAAACCTGGCTGTTTGAGCAAGCGTTTGGAACTTCAGCCTGACCAGATAAACTCAAATTGGAATGTGAACTAGGAATGGCTAAGACAATGGAACGGTTGAGGAATTGAACAAGAAGACATTGTTTTTATAATTTTTATTATTCATTGCTTTTATGGTTTTTAAACATATTGTGATCTTTTTTGCTTTTTATTGATGTACTAGCCATCCCTTGCCATGCGTTGCTGTGGCCCAATCTGGTGATCTGAGAAATAAAGTAATGAGAAAGGGTTGGTTTCTAATATATAATTCCTTTATGCTTGTGGTTAAACAGTATTTCTTGTTGTTTCTTTGTTAGTGTGGATGTGGAGAGTGTCCACATCTCCCAAATGACAAAATCCATTTTTTTTGAGTGAAGGACATACATTGGGCTGTTAGGTGTCTTGTGTTCAAATTTGGTGTCAATTCGTCCATTGGTTTTTGAGTTCTGTTAATCCCACAGAACTCTGTTCTGTTAATCCCACAAACGAACATTACGTTTTTATTTATATAGATGTATTTTTATATATGGCATCTAATTGTTGCCGACTTGTACGGCGCCCTGAGTCGCCTTCGGGCTGATATGGGCAGGATACAAATGTTGTAAATAAACAAATAAATGTAGATAGATTAATACAAAACAATGCACAAAAACAAACCAACACAAACAACAAAAAAGTTAAAAAATACTTTTTCTAGAATGAAAGGAAACATTGCTCCTACATTCCCATCTATCTATCTGTTTACCTATCTACACCATGCGTTTAAAGCATCTATTAAAGCATCTCCACTGGCTCCCGATGAGTTTCCGGGCCCAATTCAAAGTGCAGGTGATTACCTACAAAGCCCTTTATGCTTCAGGTCCAGCCTATCCTCGAGACGGCATCTCTTACTACAAATTATTGGGGAGGAACTCCTCTCGGTCCCGCCTCCATCTCACATGCGGGATGAGGGAGAGGGCCTTCCTTCTCGGTGGTGGCCCCTTATCTCCGCCTTGCCAATAGGTCCCAAGGTAGAAAGTTTGCCCATGCCTGTTGTAGAGAAAGGCATGCTAATTACTTTTGTATATAACGAAACATTTGTAAGGATTGTGGCGCAGCTGGCTGTGTGTCAGCTGCATTAAGATCACTCTGACCAAAAGATCATGAGTTCAAAGCCAGCCCGGGTTAGAGTGGGTTTCCAACCAATTGTGTAGCCTGTTGTCGACCTTTGCAACCCGAAAGACAGATGCATCTGTCAAGTAGGAAAATTAGGTACCACCTTAAAGTGTGGGGAGGCTAAAGTGACTGATTATGAGGCCATAAAGAAGACTCCAGCAAAAGCATTCCAGCGGGGAAGCATGCGGGGAATGCGGAAGTGCTTCATCAGTGTCGCAGATGGACGATGAAAGCTCTCCTGGCGGCCAGAAAAAGTGAAATAGCCTCTGTGTATGTCTGTATACGTTGTATGTCAAATTGGCATTGAATGTTTGCCATGTATGTGAACACTGTAATCTGCCCTGAGTCCCCTGCAGGGTGAGAAGGGCGGAATATAAATGCTTCAAATAAATAATAATAAATAAATAAGTTGATCCATTTCGGCACGCCGGCTTGTTTCCATAAGCATATTGGCTTGTGTCAATTTCCTCCCTTGTTCTGATGGTGGTCTTCCTCTCCAGGCGACAAGGCAGCCCCTTCCCCGCAGAGGCGCCAAAGGCACGATTCCGATTCCAGTTCGGGTTCCCCTTCGCGGCGCAGCCAAGCCAGAGCAGCCTCGGACTCGGATCTTTCCCCCCCGCGACCCTCTCTCAGCCTGCTGCAGCGGCGTCGGCAGGGCTCTCCTTCGGACCTCTCTCCGCCCAGAAGGAAGCGCCGCGCCTCGTCTGGCTCTTCGGACTTGTCTCCTCCTCGACGGGGTCAAGAGGCCCCAAGGAAAGGCCGCCGGTCCAGGAGCCCCCCTGACCGTTCACCGCAACATCGGACAGAGGATGCCAAAGGCCGGGGCAGCGGCCAAAGGGTGAGGAGGTGGGCGGGAGGGAGGGAAGGGGCTGGCGCGGGATCACGTTCGGAGCCCTGGGAGGCCCTTGACAGCGTCTCTGTTCCGTCTTCCAGGAGCATAGTTTACATTACCTTTTGGTTGCATGGGATAGTGTTCTTTTGCATTTCCCCAGGGCTGCTACAGACCCAGCAGCACCCCGGAAGTTAAACAGTATCAGAGTCTGGAAAGCCAGCCTGCAGGCCCTCTGCAATTATTGGTTTAGAAAAGTATCTCTTTGGGTCTAGGGACTGCCTTTTTTTCCTGGGTTGAGATCTCCATTTTGGAATCTCCCCTGCCTCCTTCAGTAGAGAAGAAAGCTTCAGATGTGCTGTTGGTCAGGCAGGTACTCTGAGAAAACCATTGTAAGAACGATTGAGAAATAGAAAGATAAATTTAGTGATTGAGATACTTGAGTTATAGATAGATATTGAGTTATTGAGAAATAGTTATAGAGCACTATTTGCTTCATCTCCAAAACTGACCTTGGGCTGGAATGGGGAAGGCCTACGCTTTCTAAAAGATAGTGGCTCAGGGTTGGGGTAAAAAGATCTCAGGATTTTTTCTACCATTTGGATGAAGGCACCTCAGTAACTGAAGGAAAAGGAAAGAAAGATCATCTCTACGGTTTCACCAATTGACTGTTTTGTTTGTAACTTTGATAAGCTGCGCCAAGTCTGCAAGGACTTTGAGAAATAAATATTCTGTTTGATGTTCCAAACCCGAAGTGTCCTCAGTTGCTGAGAAATTTTGAGCTTCTAAAGAAAGACCCCCGCTGTCCGCCCAGACAAAGAGAGAAGCACATCTTAGTTTTATTTTTATAGGGTCTGGGTGTGACGGCACAGTCTCCTTCCTGGGATGTGATAGGCCTGTCCAAAATTATCATTCATCCTCATTAGTCGGATCAAACTGGTTAAATTGATACTTACGAGGCGATATCGAAACTCACCTAATACTTCTTTTAAATATTTATTTATATTTATATACCATAGGATTGTCTGCGCACCCCATCTCTACCTGAAAACTCTGTCCAGCATAATATTTTAACTTTAAATTATTGCATTTGGCCCAGCCATAGGTTTTAAATGCTTGTTGTTATTGTTACTGTTTATTGTTTATTTTGTTGATGTGATTTATATTAATTATATTGTATTGATTGTCTTTTGTTTATTAATGTGCTGTAGCCTTGGCCTCATGTAAGCCACACCGAGTCCCTTGGGGAAATGATAGCGGGATATAAATAAAGTATTATTATTATTATTATTATTATTATTATTATTATTATTACCATCCCTCTCAGCCCGCAGGCAACTCGGGGCGGTTTACAATTGGTGCCAAGACCATAAAATCCAATTTCAATACAATAAAAAACAATCTGATAATAAAACCATAACAAAATCAATAAAAACATGAACATTAGGATTTCCTATTAAAAACATTGTCCAATTGCTTGAATTTCATAAACCTGAGAAGTCTCCCAAAGCCAGTTCCATGTTCAGCGCAAGGAAGCAAAGCAAAGCCAAAAAGGCTGCCTTCCCTCTTTCAATGAATGGCCTCTCGCCATGAGGAGAGGGAAGTAGCAGGGAGGAAGCAGAGTTCGCTGGGAAAGAGGCAGAGAGAGCAGAGGATTCTGGGAAATGTAGTTTGGGAAGGCGAGGAGCCCTATGCCAGAGAATACCAAAGGCCCTGCCCTGAACTAGACCACAACTGGAATATTGTGTTTAATTCTGGGCACCACAATCCAAGAGAGATATTGACTCTAAGCTGGAATGTGTCCAGAGGAGGGTGACTAAAATGATCAAGGGTCTGGAGAACAAGCCCTATGAGGAGCGGTTTAAGGAGCTGGGCATGTTTAGCCTGAAGAAGAGAAGGCTGAGAGGGGATATGATAGCCATGTATAAATATGTGAGAGGAAGCCACAGGGAGGAGGAGGGAGCAAGCTTGTTTTCTGCTTCCCTGGAGACTAGGATGCAAGGGAACAATGGCTTCAAACTACAATAGAGGAGATTCCACCTGAACATGAGGAACAACTTCCTGACTGTGAGAGCCGTTTAGCAGTGGAACTCTCTGCCCTGGAGTGTGGCAGAGGCTCCTTCTTTGGAGGCTTTTAAGCAGAGGCTGGATGGCCATCTGTCAGGGGTGATTTGAATGCAATATTCCTGCTTCTTGGCAGAACGGGGTTGGACGGGATGATGGCCCAGGAGGTCTCTTCCAACTCTTTGATTCTATGATTCTATGAACTACATTTCTCATAGAGGCTAGTAATAATAAATGTGTGTTTTCGTCCCTGTCGTGCGTTGTGCTGTCTTTGCCTTGCAGGGCCCTCAGATGCTATCGGGTGGCAAGGCGGGCCTGGTTTCGGCGGAGTTGCTGCGGAAGGAACAGAAGGAGCGGAGGCGGCAAGCGGGCGGCAGCAGCAAACACCTGGAAGGTGAGCACCTGGTGGTTTGGCTGTGCAGGTGGAGAGGGCTGTCCAAGCTCCCTCAGGCCCTCAAAGAGAGAGCCCAGCCCAGAGCCATATCGCAGTGGCAATAAAACCTGGCTGGATTGCAGCCATAAAGCAATTAGCTTCATTTACATTATGAGCATTGATAGACTAGATGTCCTTCGGGGTCTTTTCCAACTCTGTGATGCTCTGACTCCATCCGGGTCCATCCCACCTGTCCTCTGATTCCTCCTCGTGCCCTTTTCCAGCCGACTCGCAACACGCGGAGACGGTCTTCCGGGACAAGTCTGGGCGCAAGCGGGACCTGCAGCAGGAGAGGCTGGAGCTGCAGAAGAAGGCCGAGGAGAAGTCCGAGCGAGAGGAGCAGTATGCCCAGTGGGGGAAAGGGTACGCTCCTCCTTGCACATTGTGGCCTCTCTTCCCTTGGTGTACATCGGTCGTCCGGTCTCTCCCCGGCCGGGCTCCCTGTCCCCCCCTGAGCGGCTCTCCTCCCTCCCTCCCTCCCTCCCTTCCAGGCTGGCGCAGAGCAGGCAGCAGCAGCAGAACGTGGAGGACGCCGTGAGGGAGATGCAGAAGCCGCTGGCACGCTACATCGACGACCAGGACCTGGACAAGATGCTCCGGGAGCAGGAGCGCGAAGGAGACCCCATGGCCGGATTCCTCCGGAAGAAGAAGGACAAGGAGAGGAAGGGCGCCAAAGGTCAGCCTTCCAGCCCAGAAGGGGGGGGGGCACATGGCTTGGGAAGAAGGGCCTGACCCCACCCGCCCGCCCCCAAGAGGCAGTGAACGCAGCCTACCTAGGGGTGGGAAGGGGTTGCAAGCCCTCCAGGCAGGGCACCCAGAGGTGCTGGGCTTTTTCATTCCCTTCTCTTTCTCCTTTCAGTTTGGCCTACTCTTGTGCCCTACTTTCAGGTTCTGCAACAATGGGGGGGGGGGGGGGGAGGCTGTAAGGCTGGCCTCTGTTCTTTTGCTTTCCTCTCCTCTTTTCTTCCTTCCTTTCTTCCTTCCTTCCTTCCTTCCTTCCTTCCTTCCTTCCTTCCTTCCTTCCTTTCCGTCCGTCCGTCCGTCCTTCCTTCCTTCCTTCCTTCCTTCCTTCCTTCCTTCCTTCCTTCCTTCTTCCTTCCTTCCTTCCTTCCTTCCTTCCTTCCTCCTTCCTTCCTTCCTCCTTCCTTCCTTCCTTCCTTCCTTCCTTCCTCCTTCCTTCCTTCCTTCTTCCTTCCTTCCTTCCTTCCTTCTTTTTCCTTCCTTCCTTCCTTCTTCCTTCTCTTTGTTTCTTTCTTTCCTTCTTTCTTTCCTTTCTCTCTTTCTTTCTTCTTTCTGTCCTTCCTTCCTTCCTTCCTTCTTCCTTCCTCTTCCTCTTCCTTCCTTCCTTCCTTCCTTCCTTCCTTCCTTCCTTCCTTCCTTCCTTCCTCCCTCCCTCCCCCCCTCCCCCCCTTCCTTCTTTTCTCCCTCCCTCCCCTCCTCCTCCTCCTTCCTCCCTTCCTTCCTTCCTTCCTTCCTTCCTTCCTTCCTTCCTTCCTTCCTTCCTTCCTTCCTTCTTGTGGTGACTCTGGTCATACTGGCTTTCACCCTTCCTTCTCTCCCTCCCTTATTATCTTTCCCCTCCCTCCCTCTCCATCCCTTCCTCTCTCTCTCTCTTCCTTCCTCCCTCCCTCCCTCCCTCCCTCTCTTCCTTTTCTTTTCCCCTCCCTCCCTCCCTATCTCTTTCTCTCCTGAAGGCCGCATCCAGGAGACCCCGTTGCCTTCTTCCTCCTCAGCTGTCATTGCAAGCAACCCCAGTGTCTTCTCCACTTATCACATTCTTCAGGGATGGTTTGCATTTGTCTCTTGGGATTGCTTTGAGCCTCTTTGCGTTAGTGTTTTGTGCTTTGGCTCTTCATGTAATGCTTCTTGTGTGTGTGTGTTTCTGCCAGCACAGTGTTCAGATGGTTCCTCCCTCCCTCCTTCTTTCCTGTGCAGAAAAGCCACGGTACAATGGCCCAGCGCCTCCGCTCAACCGGTTTAACATCTGGCCCGGGCATCGCTGGGACGGAGTCGACAGGTGAGCCTTGCTTTGGGTCAAAGAGGAAAGGGTTACCTCTCATTTGGTTGTTTTGGCTGGAGCTTCCGCAATTCCAGGACAGATGTGGTCCAACTTCCTTAACTTACAAGAATCATCATTTCTGACTATGTAAACATATGTGGTTTACACCAAAAGTCCTCAGGTCAGTTATTGTCATTTCAGCCGGTTCCTCATGCCAAAGTTAACCAATTCTTCACCCCCTTTGTCCTCCATAGTGCAGTTTTCCAGGCTCCAGTTTTCTTAGGATGGTTCCTTCAGCCCTGACAGGCCTTAATAGGCCCTTCACCACACCCCAATCGTAGCCTTTCATTCAATCACTAGTCACCTGTGGTCACTCTCTTCTTCCGCAGGTCGAATGGTTTTGAGCAGAAGCGCTTTGCCAGGATCGCCAGTAAGAAGGCCGTGCAGGAGCTGGCCTACAAGTGGAGCGTAGAGGACATGTGAGGAGCGGGTGCCGAGGAGGAGCCTCTTGGCCACCATGATCCACCTTCTTTGCCACAACACCATCCCAGAGCATTGGTCGGGGCTTATCTTCCCAGAAAATATCCCCAGCCTGGCAGAAGGAGAAGTTTAGAAGGCCTCAAGTCCATCATAGAGAGGTCTCAAGAACATCATAATGAGGTCTCAAGAACATCATGGAGGGGCCTCAAGTCCATCATAGAGAGGTCTCAAGTCCATCATGGAGAGGCCTCAAGTCCATCATAGAGAGGTCTCAAGTCCATCATAGAGAGGTCTCAGGTCTATCATGAAGAGGTCTCAAGTCTATCGTAGAGAGGTCTCAAGAACATCATAGAGAGGTCTCAAGTCTATCATAGAGAGGTCTCAAGAACATCATAGAGAGGTCTCAAGTCCATCATGGAGAGGTCTCAAGAACATCATGGAGGGGCCTCTAGTCCATCATTGTGGAGCCTTGAGTCTATCAAGAAAGACCCTCAAGTCCATCATAGAGGGGCCTAAATTCCATCATGGAGGAACCTCAAGTCCATCATGGAGTCCATCATGGAGGGGCCTTGAGCCCAACATGGAGGGTTAGTTGAAGACCACACTTTCCTTGATCTCATCATGACTGTGGGGCCTGGAGTCCACCATGGAATAGGCCTTAATTCCATCATGGAGGGGCCTCAAATCCGTCATGGAGTGGAGTCAATCCTCGAGGGGCCTCGAGCCCATCATGGAGGGTCAGTTGAAGACCACGCTTTCCTTGATCTCATTGATTGCAGCCAATTTTGGCAGCGTCCTCTTTGGGGAACCTTCCTTCCTTCCGTGCCAGAGTGTAGGGAGCCATGGCTTTGAGTGGATTTGGGACCCCAGTGGGTTTGCGGTCGGAGGCTTTGCAGAGACTTTTCGGGGGAAGCTCCCTTCCTGGCAGCTCAGGGGAGAGGGTTCAGGAAGGCTGTCCGCAGCCAGTATTTCTTCGATCCTTTGTAATTTGGACGTGATGTTTGTACATAACTACATTTTTACAAAAACAGAACCAGAGGTGTGTGTGTGTCTGAAATGCTTTAACCGCCATCCTGATCGCAGGGAATGAACCGTCGGCAGGTTGTCGACTGAGTGTGTGTTAATACATTCCTTTCTTAAAGAAAAGGACTTGCGCATGGTTTCCTATCAGCCACACATGAACAAAACATGTAAATATTACACATCCTTTGTTCAGTTGTTTCTAACTCTTGGTGACCTCCAGGACCAGCCCACACTAGAGCTCCCTGTCAGCCGTCACCACCCCCAGCGCCTTCAAGGATGCCATCCATCCACCTTGCCCTTGGTCGGCCACTCTTCCTTTTCCCTTCCATTTTCCCCAGCATCATTCTCTTCTCTAGTTGACCTCCTGAACCAGCCCATGCCAGAGCTCCCTGTTGGCTGTCACCACCCCTAGCTACTTCAAGGACAATCCAGTAACTTCAAGGATGCCATCCATCCACCTTGCCTTTGGTCGGCCTCTCTTCCTTTTCTCTTCCATTTTCCCAAGCATCATTCCCTTCTCCAAGCTTTCCTGTCTTTTCATGATGTGGCCAAAGTAATACATAATAACAATAATACTATCAACAACAATAATTGTTGGTGTTGTTTATTTGTTCGGTCACTTCCGCCTCTTGGTGACCTCATGGACCAGCCCAGGACAGAGCTCCTTGAGGGCGGTGGCCACCCCTAGCACCTTCAAGGTCAAGCCAGTCACTTCAAGGATGCCATCCATCCATCTTGCCCTTTGTTGGCCCCTCTTCCCTTTTCCTTCCATTTTCCCCAGCATCATTGTCTTTTCTAGGTGACCTCATGGACCAGCCCACGCCAGAGCTCCCTGCCAGCCATCACCTCCCCCAGCTCCTTCAAGGTCAATCCAGTCACTTCAGGGATGCCATCCATCCATCTTGTCCTTGGTCGGCCTCTCTTCCTTTTCCCTTCCATTTCCCCCAGCATCATTGTCTTCTCTAAGCTTTCCTGTCTTCTCATGATGTGGTCAAAGGACTTCCTCATGGCCTCTACTATCCTCCAATGAGCAGTTGGGCTTTATTTCCTGGAGGATGGACTGATTGGATCTTCTCGCAGTCCAAGGCACTCTCAGAACTTTCCTCCAGCACCACAGCTCAAAAGCATCTCTCTTCCTTCACTCAGCCTTCCCACATCCGTAGGTGACTGTGGAGAATACCATGGCTTTAACTGCACCCTAGACCTATTTAATATTCAAAATACGTATTGCTTGATTACAGGCAATGGATCCTTCTGTGTAGTTCACACTTTGGTCAATGGAAGGCCAACATCCATTTGTTGATGGGTGAAGAAGTGGCAGAGCAGGACTGGGAAAGCTGGATGTTTTGATGTATTACCAACCTTGTGGAAAGTTTCTCTCACATCCCCACATGGGAAGCTGGAGTTGACAGAGGAAGTTCATCCCTGCTCTCCCTGGATTCAAACCTTCGACATGTCGATCTTCAATCCTGCCGGCAGAAGGGTTTAACCCATTGTCCCACTGTGGCAAGAGGCCATTCACTGAAAGAGGAAAGGCAGCCTTTTTGGCTTTGTTTTGCTTTCTTATGCTGAACATAAAATTCTTCACGGCGAGAGGCCATTCACAGAAAGAAGAAAGGCAGCCTTTTTGGCTTTGCTTTGCTTCCTTTCGCTGAACATGAAACTTCATGGCGAGAGGCCATTCACCGAAAGAGGAAAGGCAGCCTTTTTGGCTTTGTTTTGCTTCCTTGCGCTGAACATGAAACACTTCATGGCAAGAGGCCATTCACTGAAAGAGGCAAGGCAGCCTTTTTGGCTTTGCTTTGCTTCCTTGCGCTGAACATAAAACTCTTCATGGCAAGAGGGCATTCACTGAAAGAGGAAAGGCAGCCTTTTTGGCTCCCTTTTGGCTTTGCTTTGCTTCCTTGTGCTGAACATGAAACTCTTCATGGTGAGAAGCCATTCACTGAAAGAGGAAAGGCAGCCTTTTTGGCTTGGCTTTGCTTCCTTGCGCTGAACAAAACTCTTCATGGTGAGAGGCCATTCACTGAAAGAGGAAAGGCAGCCTTTTTGGCTTTGCTTTGCTTCCTTGCGCTGAACATAAAACTCTTCATGGCGAGAGGCCATTCACTGAAAGAGGAAAGGCAGCCTTTTTGGCTTTGCTTTGCTTCCTTGCGCTGAACATAAAACCCTTCATGGCGAGAGGCCATTCACTGAAAGAGGAAAGGCAGCCTTTTTGGCTTTGCTTTGCTTCCTTTCGCTGAACATGAAACTTCATGGCGAGAGGCCATTCACCGAAAGAGGAAAGGCAGCCTTTTTGGCTTTGTTTTGCTTCCTTGCGCTGAACATGAAACACTTCATGGCAAGAGGCCATTCACTGAAAGAGGCAAGGCAGCCTTTTTGGCTTTGCTTTGCTTCCTTGCGCTGAACATAAAACTCTTCATGGCGAGAGGCCATTCACTGAAAGAGGAAAGGCAGCCTTTTTGGCTTTGCTTTGCTTCCTTGCGCTGAACATAAAACTCTTCATGGCGAGAGGCCATTCACTGAAAGAGGAAAGGCAGCCTTTTTGGCTTTGCTTTGCTTCCTTGCGCTGAACATAAAACTCTTCATGGCGAGAGGCCATTCACTGAAAGAGGCAAGGCAGCCCTTTTGGCTTTGCTTTGCTTCCTTGTGCTGAACATGAAACTCTTCATGGCGAGAGGCCATTCACTGAAAGAGGCAAGGCAGCCCTTTTGGCTTTGCTTTGCTTCCTTGTGCTGAACATGAAACTCTTCATGGTGAGAAGCCATTCACTGAAAGAGGAAAGGCAGCCTTTTTGGCTTGGCTTTGCTTCCTTGCGCTGAACAAAACTCTTCATGGTGAGAGGCCATTCACTGAAAGAGGAAAGGCAGCCTTTTTGGCTTTGCTTTGCTTCCTTGCGCTGAACATAAAACTCTTCATGGCGAGAGGCCATTCACTGAAAGAGGAAAGGCAGCCTTTTTGGCTTTGCTTTGCTTCCTTGCGCTGAACATAAAACCCTTCATGGCGAGAGGCCATTCACTGAAAGAGGCAAGGCAGCCCTTTTGGCTTTGCTTTGCTTCCTTGTGCTGAACATGAAACTCTTCATGGCGAGAGGCCATTCACTGAAAGAGGCAAGGCAGCCCTTTTGGCTTTGCTTTGCTTTGCTTCCTTGTGCTGAACATGAAACTCTTCATGGTGAGAAGCCATTCACTGAAAGAGGAAAGGCAGCCTTTTTGGCTTGGCTTTGCTTCCTTGCGCTGAACATTGTCCCACTGTGGCAAGAGGCCATTCACTGAAAGAGGAAAGGCAGCCTTTTTGGCTTTGCTTTGCTTCCTTGCGCTGAACATAAAACTCTTCATGGCGAGAGGCCATTCACTGAAAGAGGAAAGGCAGCCTTTTTGGCTTTGCTTTGCTTCCTTGCGCTGAACATAAAACCCTTCATGGCGAGAGGCCATTCACTGAAAGAGGAAAGGCAGCCTTTTTGGCTTTGCTTTGCTTCCTTGCGCTGAACATAAAACTCTTCATGGCGAGAGGCCATTCACTGAAAGAGGAAAGGCAGCCTTTTGGGCTTTGTTTTGCTTCCTTGCGCTGAACATAAAACTTTTCATGGCGAGAGGCCATTCACTGAAAGAGGAAAGGCAGCCTTTTGGGTTTTGCTTTGCTTCCTTTTGTTGAACATGAAACTGACTTCCTGCATTACAAAATTCAAATGAAAAAGTATTGGGGGAGTTTTGATTCTTAAGCTTTCGGCACGTGTCGGATATTGCCTCGTAAGTCAGAATTTAACGAATTTTAATGCAACTTCTGAACATTTTGCACAAGCATATACATCCATACACCTATATCTATGGTTTCAAGGCCACAGAGGGAGGAGGGTCCTCACCGGTGGGGTGTGGCTGGTGGATGGTGCCCCGTTCTTCTCCTTCTTCTCTGCAACGGCGTTACTTTTCCATATTCGACAGGGAGCCGGGTGATGATGATAATAATAATAATAGGCTTACACTGGGTAATAGGCTTATGTGCTACATTATGCATGTCAAGGACAAGCAATTAAGCCTGGCCTCGCACATAATAATTAGATTTTTTGTTGATGAGCTCATCAGTAATGTGTTTAGTTAAGATTAAGGGCTTAGTTGCCAGGGCACAACAGGTCTGGGCCCTTCCTCGAGAGGCGGCCGCCGCTCTTTTCATTCAGCAGCCAGGGAAGAGTCGTCATAAGAATGATGAGAGGCCAAAGGGGACGGAAGCATACTATGGAAGCGTCTCTAGCAAGCACGGGCAAATTTGGTCCTCCCTCCAGGTGTTTTGAACTTCAACTCCCACAATTCCTAACAGAAAAGTCTCCTCCTTTGGAGGTTTTCAAGCAGAGGTTGGGTGGCCATCTGTCAGGAGGGATTAGATAGTGCCTTCCTTTCTAGCAGAAAGAAAGGGGTCAACTGGATGGCCTTTGGGTGTTCCATAGAATATAATCTCTGTTATAACTATGGCTGGATGACCATCTGTTGAGAGGGCTTGAATGGTGTCTTCCTGTATGGCAGAAAGAACAGGGTCGGACTAGATGGCCTTTGGGGATCCCATAGAATATAGTGTATCTGTCATAGCTATGGCTGCATGGCCATCTGTCGGGAGCGCTTGGATAGTGCTTCCCTTTATGGCAGAAAGGAAGGGGTCAGACTGGATGGCCTTTGGGGGTCCCACAGAATATAGTCTATGTCATAGCTATGACTGGGTGGCTATCTGTTGGGAGGGCTTGAATAGTGTCTGCCTTTACAGCAGAAAGAAGGGGTTCAGACTGGATGGCATTTGGGGGTCCCACAGAATATAGTCTATCTGTCATAGTGATGACTGGATGGCCATCTGTCAAGAGCGCTTGGATAGTGCCTTCCTTTATGTCAGAAGAAGGGTTGCAGACTGGATGGCCTTTGGGGGGTCCCATAGATTGTCTATCTGTCATAGCTATGGCTGGATGGCCATTTGTTGGGAGGGCTTGGATTGTGCCTTCCTTTACAGCAGAAAGAAGAGGGGTCAGAC